GGGGCTGGTTCTTGCTATAGAACCTGACAAATTTAAAAAAAAAAGCTCGTCCAAAAAGAACAATTGCTGCCAAGGGATTTGACAATTATCAGTCAATAAATATTGTGGAAAAAGAGATCAAGAACTACACAAAGTGTTTTGAGATTTCAGCGATCAAAATCCCACATTCCAACTCATTTTTCGTAAAAACAGTAATCGAGTGGAACCTCCTTGAGGACACTGTAGTGCGCACACCGAGCGTTGACAGCTTTAGATACTGCTCGCGTGCACCGTCAATAAATCATCTGCGCTCTCTCTACCATTGTATTAAAGCCAGAATTGGTATCCCGAACGTATTCCTACAGATACAGATACAGATCTAGAATGATCATGGTACTGGATCGACATATACTAGGAGCTGTCTCCTCTGGAAATTTTGTCAATGACCATGATCGTAAAACTATGAAACATTCTTTTTTATTACCATTGTATTAAAGCCAGTATTGGTATCCACAACGTATTCCTACAGATACAGATACAGATCTAGAATGATCATGGTACTGAATCGACATATACTAGGAGTTGTCTCCTCTGAATATTTTGTCAATGACCATGATCGTAAAACTATGAAACAGTTTCTTTTTTTATTACACACCTTTTTACCAAAGTGACACCCTGCCGCTTTGACTTGTCAGATAGAAGATCTCGCCATTTGCATGACCGAAGCAATTATCTCCAATCTGCTTACCCTAATTTCATTTCCCCATGAAAATCTTTGAACATGATTTGGGGTTTTGGCTAGGGGTTGCGGGGGAGGGCTGTCCGGGAATATTTTGAAGAGTAAAAAGGTGGCAAACTGTAAGACGGGGTAGCCTGGGATCCTGGCTCACTGTTCGACAGAAGAGCCAGGCGGAATACAACAACATGGTTTCGTCAATTGGATATTAGAATGATTCATAAAATTATTTTTAATTTCATATGAAATGCAAATTTCAAAATATGTAGCTTATATAATACAAACGTTATTGATTAACATCGTGAATCAACTGTTAATTAACGATCCGATCGACAGCAGTTGATAATGAGGGAATCGGGAAAATTTTGTTCTTTTTGTTTTGTAAATTTTTATAGAACGAAAAATCAGGTTGTGGCAATCCTTAGCTTCATGAACAGAAAAAATTTAGTAGGCATGTACAAATGAATATCAATATATTATATATATACATGTATGTCAGCCCTCCCCCTGAGGACTCAGTCAGAATAAAATGGTCCGATAATAGCATTTTAGGATTAATAGAAACCGTTTTTACCTGGATTTTTACGTACTGATGTAGCTTTTTATAGCCGACTATATGGATTGGTTTTTTTTCATTGTTGAAGGCCGTACGTTGCCTATAATTGCTTACATCGACTTTTATATTTAAACTTTGGTGGATAGTTGTCTCATTGACAATCATTCTGTTTATTACCACATCTCCTTATATCTATTTACCCGAATAATCCAGTCGCTATGTTCCGCTAATATACGATTACACCATTAACATCGCAAGTAGGAGAGATCGATTAACGTGGAAGGAATGAACTATTTGGGTTGTATTTTTATATAGTTTCCGTTCTCGAACGATACGGCCACCTGTCGTCTTCAGAAAACAAAATGTTCTGTATACAGTCTAGTCACATAATTTCGTGGATACATAAGTTCGTGGACTTCCGGAAATCCCAAATATTTCGCATGCGTGTTATTGTTATGACGTCATCATTCGCATGTTTTGATTGCTATAGGATATCCGTACAACGTCAACATACAAAATGAATCTCGTCGTTTCTAGCAAGGTAAGACTTATTACTTATTTATTTAATTAGCAAAATGGCTGATTTTACTTATTTCCTAATTTGACTAATTTCCATCGACCTCGATACTTTTATTCCAAAGTTATTATCCAAAATCCAAGTGTCGTCTGGTTACTCTTCTTTCTAATGAACAATATCACGTGACTAACAAGGAGATTCCCTGTCACCCAACAAAATCTATGGAACGCAATCAGTGTCATAATCTTATATGTTTTTGATGTATTTTAGCGATAAAAGATGAATTTTGGTTTATCGAATGAACTTCAAAGGAGTTATTGAGCACAGTTCTTGTAAATTAAGTTCAACTTACGTTAATTACTGGGTAGTATAGAGGATTTGTATACACAATTTTATTTTATTGTGTATTTATTTGTTTTGCTAAAAGTTTTTTGTATCACAAAATTATTAGTGTTATTTTTTTAATATTTTACAGGTTCAACTTAAAAGGCAGAAATACAAGTCGAATTCACAAACAAAACTGACTAATCTTATCTGGATGTTACTGACAAGAAGCTTAGTGTTGCCAAGGCTGCAAGGAATTATTGTCTTACTGAACAGACACTAAGAGACCGTGTATTGGGCCACATCTTTATAGACAACGTAAAGTCTGGACAAACACCAGTTTTTGACTGTGAACAGGAGACAAGATTGGTTCAGCACATAAAAGAAATGGGTGCAGTAGGATATGCATACACCAGAGCTGAAGTGGTGGATCTTGGATCTGAGTATGCTGTTCACTTGGGTATAAAGACAAAAGACGACAAGCAGCTGTCATTGAGATGGTTTTACAGCTTCATGGGTAGATGGCCTGAACTAAAGGTATGGAGACCTAAAACCATCTCAGAACTTAGAGCAAAGGCAACCTCAAGGGCATCAATTTACAGGTACTTTGATGAACTTAACCGTATAATGGAAAAATATCAGCTAAAAGACAAGCCACAGAGTATCTATAATGTTGATGAGAAGGGTTTACAACCAAACTATAAACCACCAAATGTTGTGGCCTCTGCAGAATATGTACCCTCTACCTTGTCTTCGGAAAAAGGTCAAACAACAACTGTAATGGGATTTGGTTATGCCTTAGGACATCAAATTCCACCATATTTTATTTTCGCTGGTAAACGTATGAGACAGGAGTTGTTAGAAGGGGCCACACCAAGTGCTGATGGGTCTGTCAGTGAAACTGGATGGTCCAATTCAGAGATATTTCAGTCCTACCTGGAAAATCATTTTATTAAATACGTGGTCACAGGACTAACATAACACCAGATATCATTGATTCGGCAGTAGAGAAAAAAATTATCTTGTATATTTTGCCTCCTCACACCAGCCATGTTCTTCAGCCCATGGATGTTGGTTGTTTTGGGCCTTTCGCAAGAATCTACAGTTCAGAATGTCATAAATTCCAACGTACCCATTCAGCAGTAATTAACAAATACAACTTATGCTCTATTTCCTGCAAATCCTACAATTCTGCTCTTTCTCCTTCAAATTTGCAGTCTGCTTTCCGTAAATCTGGTATTTACCCGTTAGATAGAGATGCTATAGATCAGTCCTTGTTTTATATTTCTGATGCTATTCATAGACAGAGCCAATCAGAGGAAAATACCAAAGTTGATGATATCCCTGCCATTGAAAATGAAACAACTGAACCAGTTAATTTAATGTCCGATTTAGAGATCAATGCAGACACAGAACCTATATTATCAAACCAGGAAAATGAAAACATTCAGATTTATGTAGCTGAAAAAATTACTGACGAAAAAACAGATGAAAATACAACTTTCTTCACTGCAAAATCAACAAATTTGTCCAAGAAAAATCCACCAAAACAGGAAAGACGTTCCATCTACAAGATAGTAGCAGGAAAGGCAATTACAGAACCAGAGACACGTCAAGAAATAAAGGAGTACATTGCACAGTCAACGTCAAGGACCAAGTCTAAAACAAACAATAAATCAACAAAACATAACATTAACCAAAATGCTAAGAAAACAACAACTAAACGTAAACAAAATGGTTCATCATCTTCTTCCAGTTCAACAACCACAAACAAGAAATTAAAGCAGAATCAACAAGATTCACAACAGCCAGGTCCATCAGGACTACAAAAAATAGTTGTTTCTGACGGTTCAATTACAGATGAAGATGATCAAGATGATGATAACACATTGTGTTGTGTTTGTAACATGTGGCAGCCAAAGGAGTTACAGGATTGCATCTCCATTGTATTCACACAATGGGCCAAATGTGAATTTCTACAATGTGATCATTTGACTCATCTTAAATTTTGCTGTGATGTCTCCGTCCTACGCAGGTCAGATAAATTTTACTGCCCATGTCATGGCTTACCCTGCAAACAGAAAGAAACTGAAGAATAATGATAACGATATACATTTGATAATTGTTTGACCGTTTCCAGTTATTCATATTTAAAGACATTTACTGTGCCAGTTCTTTATTAACAGTTGGAACACTTTTGAGTTGTGAACATTTGCTTGATTTTATAAATTTGAACTTTATCTTCTGTGGAAAGAAATTTAATCATGATTCCAAAGGAAAAAATTGACTGAACTGTATCTTTAAGCACATTTTTTTTAATTAATGGTAAGTAAAAATAATTGTTATTAGCAACTTTTGATTTTATATTGTTACTTATAATTTTAATAATTTTTTAAAAGTTAAAAATATTTTTTTTTATTTTTTTGGTGTTTCCATTTTTTATTTTTGTAAGGTTTTCAGTCTCCAAAAAATTAAAATTAAATACTTGGTCTTTAAAAACAATGTATTTATTTTTACTGAACTGAACATGTACAAAAATATTATTGTATAAAATTACAATTTTATGCTCACCACTGGGCTTCCATACTCTGTGTTCTTCTTGTGTTATTATTAGAACGAACTTTTCCCACGAAAATAGGTGACGTACTTGGCATCCAATGGCGATTTGTTTACACTAGAAATGTAGGTCATATCAAAGAAACTATGAAACGGAAAGAATCAAACTAACTTGTATTATTTTAAGGTAACATTATCGACATAAAAAACAAATGGCTATTTATTAGTTTTACCGCATTCCGTTTGAATAGTCTTATATCCACGAATATAGGTGACACTACCGTACATGCCATATACAAATAAAAATGTTATAATTCTAATGTGTTCTTTTAGATGCATTTGCTGTACATATATGATTGATTTAAATTACTTAGGTATATATATTTACTCCATATGGAGGTGCTCCTACTTACAGAAGGCTGATTCACCGAAGAAGAAACCGAGCGCCATCTGTCGTCATAATGATCGTTAGCATAATACAACAATGACAATTTACAAATCGACATTTAACGAATCGACAAGTTACAAAACATCAATGTACAAATTGACAATTTACAAATCTACATTTAACGAATCGACAAGTTACAAAACATCAATATACAAATTGACAATTTCCGAATCGACATTTTACGAATCTACAAGTTACAAAACATCAATATACAAATTGACAATTTACAAATCGACAATTTACGAATCGACAAGTTACAAAACATCAATATACAAATTGACAAATCACACAGTTACAAGTTACAAATTGACAAGTTACGAAGTAAGAATTTTGACCCCGTTGGCTTTCCATATATATTATCATGTCCAAGATTTAACCCAAGTTACTTTTCACCTTGTAACCAATTCTTCGGGCTAGACATTAAATATGGACCAACCTTTATTTGTTATACGTGGAATGTTTGCACATTCAACAATTGAAAATCCATTAATTGTTTTAGCAGATCACATCATTGGAGTTTCTAACGGAAAGGTATGTTTTATTATTCATTCAGTCATTTAAGTAGACGCAAACAATCAAAGGTGATCGGTTAAATAACACCATGAAATATTTGTCCTCATAGATCATGTAGATCATCACTGTGTGTGCGCTGTGAGTCGATTTAATGCAACGTCGTTTAATTGAAAAGATTTTAATTGTGAAGATCAAAGTTTACCTATAAATATATTAACTATACATTGTTCTTGCATAATAACAATATTGCTTTCGTAATAGGTATGGATTATTTCCCTGTTCATTACTAAATTATTTCGGCTGTAAATTATTTGCTTGATAATATTTGATAAATATTTTATTTACATATGCTTTATTCTATATCAAGTTCTCATATATGGAGCAAGGCTGACATTCAAGTTTATATATTTGTTTGACGTTTGCTATAACTTTGCAATGTTATTTATTTTTGCTTAGGATTTTGAAAGAACTTATTTAAATAGAATATTAATAATGATATTTGAATATAAAATACTCAGGTGAAGATGGGTTGCCTGTCTGAAATTAGAGAGACTCTGATGGGTTGTCTGTCTGAAATAAATGAGATTAAAACGGGTTGCCCACCGTATCCTATCTTTTTTATATGGTCATTAAAAATAATCAAATTTTCTATACACATATGTTAAATATTTTATCTTCTATGAAAAACGCCACTTTAAGTGTTTCAATGAAGGTTCGTATGATTTGCATCAATGCTAAACACGATTTTTATCCATTTTTATGAAATTAAAGTATATAAGATTTGGTTTTTGTAGTTCATGTACGTATATAGTAGCAGGGTACCATATATCAAATTATGTTTTCTTGCTTACTGATTGCCTTGAAATCTTTAAATTAAATGTTACTATTTTGGTATATAAAAATAAGAAGATGTGGATTGCCAATACCACAAATCCCCCCTACCAAATGACCTTATTTTTAAGTATAAAATTGAGAATGGAAAAAGTATGTTTATTATAACTTTAACGAAAAATAACTGTTACTTTATTATTTCATTTTTTCTAACCATTGTATGAAATATCCCCTGGGGAACATATAAGACGAATTGTCATTTAGTGAAACCAAGGAGGTATATATAACCTCCTTGGTGAAACGTTCCCCTTGGTAACAAATTATAAAAGTTACCATCCAGTGAATCCCCTGAAGAACATTGTAAAATTCCTCTGGGGAACACATGATAAAAGTTACCATTGAGTGAAATGTTTCTTTGGGAACTACATCACTTTTTTCGAAAGTTATGAATGACTAAATGATCAATATGATAAGCCTTCTAACAGTATGTATTTCATGAATAAAGACTTGTTAATTCCTGATTAGAATACTACTAAAGAGAAATCATTGAGTCATTTCATGGAAGTATTATATTGTCAATATAATACTTCCATGGTCATTTATAACTCTTGACTATATTTATATGTGGTCCCTTGGTGAATATTTCAATGTGCCCCAGGGGAACAGTTTATTAAATGGTTATTTTTATTAATAGTTCCCAAGAGGCAGATTATGATGTGTATTCCCCAGAACAAGGAATTGTATATTTAAAAGGAATGGAAACGCGGCCGACTTCAAAGAAAATTGTATGATGCATCTCTGACTTGGGTGGTGTGTTAATTACATCCCGTCGCTCTAACTGGCTCATTACTTATCTGGCAGTAGTTATAGAACTTGGTCATTTAATCATGAAATGGAACAAGGAATTGTCTATTTAGATATACAATTCCTTAAATGAAATAAACAAAAAATACAACCTGAAACAAACATACTTTTGAAAAACATTTTTTTTTGTACCTCCTCTTGATATTTCACGAAGGTATGCAACAATTAAGATCAATTAATAGATGAAATCTGACATTATACGAGTTTTTAAAAAGATTTAAAGTAATGCAAAAAGTTAAAAAATAACTTTTCAATTTTGGAATATGACTGGTATAGAAAAGTATAAAGGAAGAAGAACATGAATAGATGTAGTATTTTGTCTAGATAAAAGAACTTAGGTAATAGGTGTTATAATAAACACCGGTATGGGATATCCAATTTGCAGGTGTAATCTAGGGGGGGGGGGGGGGGGGGGTAGGACCTTTATCGGGACTCCGGGATCGGATGATTTTAAGCTCGGGATTTCGGGATTGATCCTTTCGGGATCCGGGAATTCTTTTTTCGAATTTCGGGATGTCGGGATTTAAAATTTTTATGCCCCCGCCGTAGCGGTGGGGGCATTAAGTTTTACCCTTGTCCGTCTGTACGTACGTACGTACGTACGTACGTACGTACGTCCGTCCGTACGTCCCAAAATTGGTTTCCGTTCTCTAACTTGAGTTTGCCTCAACCAAATGTTATGAAACTTATACACAATGCTTATTACCACAAAACACAGATCAAGTTTGAATTTTGGTGGCGTCACTTTAACCGTTCTAGAGTTATGCCCCTTTATAAATGGAAAAATTGCAAAATTTTTAGTTTCCGTTCTCTAACTTAAGTTTGCCTCAACCAAATGTTATGAAACTTATACACAAGGCTTATTACCACAAAACACAGATCAAGTTTGAATTTTGGTGGCGTCACTTTAACCGTTCTAGAGTTATGCCCCTTTATAAATGGAAAAATTGCAAAATTTTTAGTTTCCGTCCTCTAACTTAAGTTTGCCTCAACCAGATGTTATGAAACTTATACACAAGGCTTATTACCACAAAACACAGATCAAGTTTGAATTTTGGTGGCGTCACTTTTACCGTTCTAGAGTTATGCCCCTTTATAAATGGAAAAATTGCAAAATTTTTGTTTCCGTCCTCTAACTTAAGTTTGCCTCAACCAAATGTTATGAAACTTAAATACAATGCTTATTATCACAAAACACAGATCAAGTTTGAATTTTGGTGGCGTCACTTTAACTGTTCTAGAGTTATGCCCCTTTATAAATGGAAAAAATTGCAAAATTTATATTTTCTTCTAAATATCAAGTTATTTTTAAAATTGGAGTTATCTTCCTTTGTCCATGATTATAGTTGAATCAACTACAATCAATGCTGTATACAATGCAATGTTTAATTTTGACTTCCACTGATAAAACACAGATCAAGTTGAATTCGGATAGTGTCACTTTAACCATTATTGAGTTATGCCCCTTTATAAATAGAAAAATTGCTGAATTTTTTAGTGTCTGTTCTCTACTAAGTTAGCCTCAACCAAATGTTATGAGACTTACACACAAAACTCAGATCAAGTTCAAATTTGGGTAGCGTCACTTTTACTGTTCTTCAGTTATGTCCCTTTATAACTATATGATATGCAAGCGGGGGCATCATCTGTGTCCACATGTGGACACTATCCACATTTATTTTTAAATTCGGGACCTCGGAATTCCATGTTTTTAAGCCCGGGATTTCGGGATCAGGACCCCTCCTACCCCCACCTCATCTATCATGTATCATTGATAAGCTAATTTTTGTCGTATATATATTTAAGCAGGAACAGTGTATACTAACTATAGGCTGTCCCTGATTTAAGGTGTCAAAAAGAAATCACGCCGAGCTCACCTGTTAATAAATTCTAAATTATGCCGTGGTGCAATACATTTTTTAATTAGAAACAGTTAAAACTTTCCGACATTCGCATATTATTTATTTTAACACAGAAGGAATATTTTGCGAACTCTAGACTACTGCTCTTCTAGAAAAAAGGAAGGAACTGTTTTGCTTTTAAGCTTGTGGTAATTTGCTGCAAAGCTTAATAATGGCAAACTACAAAACCAAACAACGATTAAGTATAAAAATAGTATTTGACAAAAAAATAAATGATTTAAATCGTGTATAAAACGGCACAATCAATCCCAATCGGAAGTCTTATATACATTTCTTGTCTGTAACTTCCGACTTCGTCGGTGTGGAACCTGACTGAACAAAATGGCGTCAATGTGAACTATAAGCATGGGATTTTGAAAAATCATAACAAATTCGTTTTTATCACCATTTTCATAAAACCAACACTTTGTGATAGAAAAATGACTAAGCTTTTAAATTGTATGTCAATGTCACATCTATTTCAAGTAGTTATTTAACCCTTACCAGAATACGGCGTTTTGGTGTGTTTATTGACGCACTACTTAAAATTTTCAACATGTTTCGAAATAAAATCATTTACATTGTACCAATATCATTTAGCATTCATAATTTATACCAAACTGTAGGAAAATATTCCTTCTTTAAAATGATATCTCATTTTCTCACTTTATTCTTTCTACTTTCCAATAATTAGAAGAAATCATATTACACTCCCAGATTGAAAGACGTGTTTTGACAGAATAATGAAATTCAAAACTGAAATTTCGAAAAATCGTAGAAAATTCAGACTGAATGTTACCAGAAACTTTAAAAAATGGCAAAATGCTAGAATAAGGTTTCAGCTTCATAATGATATCAACTATTTTGTTTTGCACTTCGTAGTTGCCGAGCTTTTAGAAAAAAATCAAAACACTGTATTTTTTATTTTGTAATCCGGATGAAACTCACTCAAGTTTCAAGACCGAGGTCTATTTTAATAAGAATTTTCATAATAAAATATTACAAACGTATGTTCGATGAGGCATTAAAATGATACCTAAGGCCTTAACTATTCACAGAATGGAAGTTTATTCTTGATTTTGGGTTTCTCTCTCCTTTATATCTTCTCAATCAAGATGACCCCGTGAATTTAAAAGACCGATCTATATGACAGGAAATGGGCCACCGTCATGATTCTTTATATTATTCATCATACTTCCGACCGAGTCAGACATGGATTATAGCTCTGCGGGTGCTCTGCAGGTATCCCGATTGATCTCGAGCTGCGTTTCCATTCCTTTTAAATATACAATTCCTTGCCCAGAAGAACATTTTACTAAATAGTCACCTTTATTGTGTGTTCCCCAGAGGAATATTTCACTAAGTGTTAACCTTTATTATGTGTTCCCCTGAGGAATATTTCACTAACTGATAACCTTTATT